CAAGAACTTGCCACAATTTATGATGATCCACACAGTCAAAGGCTTTAGAAGAGTCAATGAAGCAGAAGTAGAGGTTTTTCTGAAACTCCCTGCCTTTCTCCTGCCGTTATAATTATATAATCTATATAAATAAAAACGTAATGTCCGCTTGTGGTATTCACATAACTCAAAAACCACTGGGGCAATTGGCACCAAATTTGGACACAAGAGACCTAACAACCCAATGTATGTCCTTCACTCCCAAAAAATTGATTTTGTCATTTGGGAGTTGTAGTTGCTGGGATTTATAGTTCACCTACAATCAAAGAGCATTCTGAACTCCACCAACGATGGAATTGAACCAAACTTGGCATACAGTTCTCCCATGACCAACAGAAAATACTGGAAGAGTTTGGTGGGCACTGACCTTTGGTTTTGGAGTTGTAGTTCACCTACATCCAGAGATCACTGTGCACTCAAACAATGATGGATCTGGACCAAACTCTACACGGAGACTCAATATTCCCAAATGTGAACACTGGTGGAGTTTGGGGGAAATAGAATCTTGACATTTGGGAGTTGTAGTTGCTGGGATTTATAGTTCACCTACTATCACAGAGCATTCTGAACCCCATCAACAATAGAATTGGGCCAAACCTCCCACACAGAACCCCCATGTGGGCCACAGCAATATAGACGACTAGTCTATATAAATAAAAAGGTAATGTTCGTTTGTGGGATTCACAGAACTCAAAAACCACTGGATGAATTGACACCAAATTTGGACACAAGACACCTAACAACCCAATGTATGTCCTTCACTCAGAAAATTGATTTTGTCATTTGGGAGTTGTAGTTGCTGGGATTTATAGTTCACCTACAATCAAAGAGCATTCTGAACCCCACCAACAAGGGAATTGGGCCAAACCTCCCACACAGAATCCCCATGTGGGCCACAGCAACGCCTGGCAGGGGACAGCTAGTTACCTATATAAAGAAAAATGTAATGTCTATTTGTGGGATTCACGTAACTCAAAAACCACTGGATGAATTGAGACCAAATTTAGACACAAGACTATCAAGCCAACGAGTGACCATCACTCATAAAAACACTGAAAAACACAGCAGAAGTGTCCTACGACTGGGTAATTTCTCAATGTGATAAGGAGGCTAGTTTCTGTAAGAAGACAACATCTTCAACACTTTATTGCCACCCACGTAGACGCGTTTCTCACCCAAATAGTCATCGAAGGAGAACTTGTCGTTGTCCCAGACCTGGAGGACCAACTGTGGAGGGACTTTGTTCTCGGTCTTGTCCAGGCTCCAGAAATGCTCCTGCGTTGCCACATGAAAAGGAAGGGAAAACAATGACAGGTCAGAGGCAGGAAAAGCGCAAGGCTGGCCTCTAACATCATCCTCGCATTTAGGACAGACCTGCATTCGCTGCTGAATACTCACGGGTTCTGAATCTCCAGCCAGCCACAGCTTGAAAATGTCTATTTAAGTCATTCTAAAGCAGTGGTTCTCAACCTTCCTAATGCCATGACCCTTGAATCCAGTCCCTCATGTGGTGGTGACCCCCAACCATAACATTGTTTTCGTTGCTACTTCATAACAGTCATTTTTCTACTGTTATAAATCATAATGTAAATATCAGATGTGCAAGATGGATTTTCATTCACTGGACCAAACTGGGCACAAATACCCAATGCACCCACATGTAAATGCTAGTGGGGTTGGGGAGAATTGATTTTGTTATTTGGGAGTTGTAGTTGCTGGGATTTATAGTTCACCTATAATCAAAGAGCATTCGGAACTCCACCATCTATGGTTTTGAACCTAATTTGCCACACAGAACTTCCATGACTAATGGAAAATACTGGAAGGGTATGGTGGGCATTAATCTTGAGTTTGGGAGTTGTAGTTCACCTATATCCAGAGAGCACTGTGGACTCACACAATGGTGGATCTGGACCAGACTTGGCACAAATACTCAATATGCGCAAATGTGGACACTGGTGGAGCCTGGGGAAAATAGACCTTTTGGGAGTTGTAGTTTCTGGGACTTATAGTTCATTACAATCAAAGAACATTCTGAACTCCACCAACGATAGAATTGGCTCAAACTTCCCACATGGAATCCCCATGACCATCAGAAAATACTGTGTTTTCTGATGGTCTTTGGCGACCCCTCTGACACCCCTTTGCGACCCCCTCAAGGGTCCCAACCCCCAGGTTGAGAAATATTGTTCTAAAAGGCAACTTTGGTTTTGACATTTTAGGGATGCAATGAGATTTGAACATCCATAGATGTGAGTACCCATGGGGCTCCTGGAACTGAACCCAACCAATCCCCAGTAGCTACCAAAGGTCAACTATATTCATCAGATCATAACATCCTAGAGAACATAAGAGTCATCGAGTCCACTGCTTCATAAACTATGGGTCCCTTTAGGTCAGGCATATGCAAAGTTGGGCCCTCCCTTCAGGTATTTTGGACTCCAACTCCCACCATTCCTAACAGCCTTAGGCTCCTTTCTTTCCCCCCTCAGTTGCTTAAGCAGAAAGTAAATGAAAGAAAGGAAAGGGCTTGAGGCTGTTAGGAATTGTGGGAGACAAAGCCCAAAGCACTTGGAAGGAGGGCCCAAGTTTGCCCATGCTTGCTTTAGATTAACATTGGGGTCTCAAAAATTTCTTTGAAGGTCACCCATTTTCCATCTGTGAGCAACAACATGCAAAGCTGGACAATGGACTCTGCAGAAAGGGCTTCCACTGTACTCCACAAAAGGGAAAACCAGCCTGTGTAGCAAGCCTTGCAGATTGGTAGTGATCCTGGAATCATCGCTGAGCCTGGAAGCCCAGGTCTCGGCGGTGGTCAGGGCAGCTTTTGCACAATTAAAACTTGTGCGCCAGCTGCGCCCGTACCTTGGGAAGTCTGACTTGGCCACGGTGGTCCACGCTTTGGTTACATCCCGTATAGACTACTGCAACGCTCTCTACGTGGGGTTGCCTCTGAAGACTGCCCGGAAGCTACAACTAGTCCAACGAGCAGCAGCCAGACTACTAACAGGAGCGGGGTACAGGGAGCATACGACTCCTCTGTTGCGCCAGCTCCACTGGCTGCCAATCAGCTTCTGAGCACAATTCAAAGTGCTGGTGCTGACCTATAAATCCCTAAACGACTCTGGCCCAGTTTACCTGTCCAAACGTATTCCCCCCTATGAACCATCAAGGTTGTTAAGATCTTTTGGAGGGGCCCTGCTCTCGGTCCCACCACCCTCGCAATTGCGTTTGGTGGGGACAAGGGGCAGGGCCTTCTCGGTGGTGGCCCCTCGGCTCTGGAACTCTCTCCTGTTGGAGATTAGATCTGCCTCTTCCCTCCTGACTTTCAGAAAGCTGGTAAAATCTTGGCTTTGGAATATAGCATTTGCAGAATGATGATTGAGTCAATAAGTGCTGACCACACAGGCGGATGGCGATGAATTTGTGATTTTACTCTGACAACCTGGCCTTATGTAATTGTATGATTTGTATTTTAATGTATTTTATCTATTAATGTGTTATGATGTTGCTATGTTATGTTCTTTATACTAATTGTGTATGAACCTTTTGCTGTGAACCGGCCTGAATGAATGAATGAATGAATGAATGAATGAATGAATGAATGAATGAATAAAGACTGATTTATTACGCTGGCCAATACATCTTTGGGTGCCTCAAATGTCAGCCCTGTTTCTGGGGACACGTGACCTGCTGATTCCAAAAACAGCACCATGATAATGATAACATCTAAGAAACTAGAGCTGTCTATCCAGTGCGATTTTCCAAATCAGCTCCCCAAAGAACTCCAGGAACAGACCTCAAGCACCAAGACGCAATACAAAATTTTGTGTTGAGCTGTGTTACCAGGACATACTTGATGTTGAGTCCTATTTTGTAAACCCAGGGTCACATAAAATGTCCCAGGCAGAAAGGGGTTGCAAACGGGAAAAGATTTATGAAGCCCTGAAAAATAAATCTACGCCAACCCCTTGCCATGGAGGACGAATTATGTAGAAAGAATATGGAGCTGCAACAGATGCACAATTCTGGGTTAGGAATTGATAACTGCAAGACAGGATGCCAGCTGCTGCCATCATCATCATCACCACCACCAACATTGGCTCTGCAGTTCACCAAGAGCTCCACAGCTGCTCTTTCTTACCCACATTACTATTATTGTTGTTTTTGTTTTTGTCTCCCAATATATTCCATACCCATTTTGTCACATGCTGTCTTGACATTGCGTCCTCTCCATAAACCGAAATGATTTCATGATGAATTGTAGCAGCGTTCAGTCCCTCAGCATTTAGGTAGCATATGACAGCACTAAGAACTTTGCGCTTGGAGGGAAATAGAATGAGGACACTCATTTGTAGCCTTCACCACAATGTCAGTCGATGAGCTACTGACGACTGGCACTGCTCATTCGCTTCCACTGGCTCCCTGCTACACAGCAGTGATATCAACTTCCCCCGAGAAAATTCCCCACAAGAGCTACGTGCCTTAGAAATGTACTTTCCAAATACCACTCGTGTAGTGTGAACTTTGCACTTGGAGGGAAATGGAATGAGGACTCTCATCTCTAACCTTCACCACAAGGCCAGTCGATGACCTACTGACGACTGGCACTGCTTGTTCACTTCTGCTGGCTTCCTGCTACACCGCAGTGATACCAACTTCCCCCGAGATAATTCCCCAAAAGGGCTAGTGCCTTGTAACCATACTTTCCAAATAACCCTCGTGCAGCATGAACTTTGCACTTGGAGGGAAACAGAATGAGGACGCTCATCTCTAACCTTCACCACAAGGCCAGTCAATGAGCTACTGATGACTGGCACTGCTCGTTCGCTTCTGCTGGTTTCCTATACACAACACTTTCACCAACTTCCCCCACCAAAATTCCCCACAACAGCTACGTACCTTGTAACTTTACTTTCCAAATAACCTTTGTGCAGCGTGAACTTCGCACTTGGAGAGAAACGGAATGAGGATGCTCATCTCGAACCTTCACCACAATGCCAGTCGATGAGCTACTGACGACTGGCACTGCTCGTTTGCTTCCACTGGCTTCCCGCTACACAGCAGTGATACCAACTTCCCCCAAGAAAATTCCCCACAAAAGCTAGTGCCTTGGAACTGTATGTCCAAATATCACTCGTGCAGTGTGAACTTCACACTTGGAGGGAAACAGAATGAAGACACTCATCTGTAACCTTCACCACAGGCCAGTCGATGAGCTACTGACGACTGGCACTGCTCGTTCGTTTCTGCCGGTTTCCTACTACACAACAGTGGCACCAACTTCCCCCACCAAAATTCCCCACAAGAGCTACATGCCTTGGAACCTTACTTTCCGGATAACCCTTATAATTATGTGCAATTACTGTAACGAAATAGTAATGAAATATCGTTACTCTCATTATAGTAACGTAATTTTCACTAACTACACTTTAGAAACGAAGCGCCAGCGTCCCCAGTTTTGTAATGACATTTGAAACAATTTTTTAATAGATTGCAAAGCCCTCACCCCTATATCCCAGGATCTGCTTCCAGATTATCTGTTTATCCCAGAATATCTGGCAATGGAGACTCATATATTCCGGTTTAAAGCAGATAATCTGGGATCCAATCCTGGGATATGAGGCAGTATGGAATTGCTTATAGTTGTTATTTTTGTTGTTGATGATGATATTTGCAATGGCAAAGGCCAATCATTGCTAGCAGACTCTATCACAACACCCACGGAGCCCTTTTGGTTGGGCAGAGTGGCGAGAGGCCATGGAAGCCCACCTCTGGGCCACATCTGGGGAAGCATTCCAGGGAGATGCACCACCGCCGCATTCGGGGCCTTTCTTTCTGTCCTGGTAATGAGCTCCCCGAGGAAACAGCAGGAGCCCCATCACCTCAGATGGCAGCCCTGGAACATCTGGGGGAAACGGCATCCCTCGCAAAAGGTCTAACCTCAAGGTGTCGGCTCCAACCAAGCTGCGCATACCTCTCCACACATAAAAGCCAGGAGAGGGATTTACAAGCCCCGCTTCTAGCGCTTTGGGATGGGAAATAATGAGGGGATGTATCTGGAGAAGCAGCGGTGGGATGCAGCAGCGAAGGAAGGTGGCGGATTGGAAGCGGCTACGGATTGGAAGGGGAACGGGCCCAGTCCTTGCAGCAGAGCATCAATAGAGTGCACCTTATGCACAGCTACCAACTCGGTGGAAAGGGTTGAGACTCTATCAGATATTCATTGGAATTTGAAAGCATTCCTGTTTCTGGGTTGTTGTAGGTTTTTTGGG